GGGGAGGGGTCCCTGCCCGGTGGTACAGGCCGAGGCCCGCCCCCCCCCCCCCCCCGCAGGAATCGCCAGTGCTGAGCGTCACAACTAGCCCAAAGCAGAGCCAAGGAGCCAGGGACCGCGGGGGAGTTTGGGGGACGTGCCCATCCCAGGCCCCTAAACCTTCCGGGTTCTCCCACTCCTGGGTATTGCATAGGAGCCCTCAGCCCGGACAGCCGGGGGCAAGCGGGGACCAAGCTCCTCAATCAGTGGGGACACAGAAAGTCCCCCCCCAAAAAGCGTCACAACTAGCCCAAAGCAGAGCCAAGGAGCCAGGGACCGCGGGGGAGTTTGGGGGACGTGCCCATCCCAGGCCCCTAAACCTTCCGGGTTCTCCCACTCCTGGGTATTGCATAGGAGCCCTCAGCCCGGACAGCCGGGGGCAAGCGGGGACCAAGCTCCTCAATCAGTGGGGACACAGAAAGTCCCCCCCCAAAATGGCCAGAGAGCAATTCCTGTGCACACCCCGTCTCGCCTGCCCCCTCCCGAGAGACTGGCTGGGCCCGGCAAGATGGGCTGGCTGCAGGACTTGCTGGCTGGGGTCCCTGGCCTGCGATCAGAGAGGAGGGTCAGGACGGTCCCTTCTACCCTTCAAAACTTGGAGAGAACATTGAACAGATCCCGACCGAAGCCTCTGCCAGCAGCCAGCACTGGGCCCCACCTCGATGGATTGATTCACGTCTCTAGCCAACAATGGGGACGCTGCTGACTGCCCCGGGCAAGAGGGACTGCCCCGGTGAGCGTGTCTTTGCTTTGCTTCTTGGAACAGTGTTACTAAAGGAAATAATATCAACTCCCATTTCCTCCTGCTGTTCCCCCGAGACGGCCCCTGGCTTCTGGGAAACCTGCCGCCTGTTTGCTCAGCCCGTGTGGACATACTGATGGGATTATGCTTCCAAACCGGACTCAGACAAATGGAAGAAATCGCTGGTGCGCACGGCAGGGGCGAGGAGCTGACCACGCCCCTGCCGAGAGGAATGGCCTCAGATTCCCTGGCCGTGCTGTGTCCCGTCACACCCCTCCACAGTGTGGGCTAGAACTTCTGTGTTTGGTTTAGTTCATTGTCCTCTCTGAGGGCTAGAGCCTTGGGCTATTCATTACGTCCATTCCCCGGGCAGGGACTTCCTTGTGCATGGGCTTCCTTGTGCATCAGGAACTCTCTGTAGCTTTTCCTCTCTGCTTTCGGAGAGGACAGGGTTTGGGTTTGCGGCAGCTACAGCACCCTCTGGGTTTCAGGATGGAAATCTTTAACCCTCTGTGTACAGAGCTACATGAATCCCTCACACTCCATGGGTCACAATCTCCGGGAGACGGGTCGGTAAATCGCTTGCGCTGCCGTGACTGTGTCCAGTGAATTCTTCCCAGGCAGAGTGTGGAGGGGCCAGGGGAGCCCCAGCTGTGAGTCTCAGAGGCACCCAACCCCCCACTGAGCTTGTAAGGGACACAAGGGTCTGTTGGGGAGTAGCAGCTCCACGTCCACCATTGGTGCATCATAAAACAAGGAAGTTTCCAAACAACTGTGGCTGAGATGTTGCCACCCCCACTCCGCCATGCCTCCCATTGCCACCCTCGTGCCTACGCATGGCCGTGGCTTAGCCTTTCCTACCCCCCAGCGCTCTGCTCAGTCTGGTTTCTTGCTCTGGAAATCTGTTTAACCAGGGGCTTTGTTGGAGGAGATCTAGAGGGACCACAAAGACGGGAGTGAAGAAATAGCCCGAAGGCTGCCTTGCCGGCCCACGCTTACCAAAGAAGACGCCCAGCACGGTTCTGTTCCCGACGGAGGGCCGCCCCGAGGGCCCCTGTGCAACCGCGTTGCTGAGTTTGCGAGCGTTGGGCACGTGCGGCTCCTCCAGCACCTGGTACACACCGTCGGCATAGTTAGCCGGCAGGAGGCGCAGCAGCGTGGAACCTGGGGGTACAACAGCAACGGGTTACAGGGCAGATGGGGCCCCGGGGTGCTGGGCAGCATATCCGGAGAAAGGGGCCGGAAGGGGCTTGGGAAAACTCAAGGGAGAGAGAGAACGAGGCAAATGGAGTGTTTGGGAAAGACCTAGCGGGGCCTGGGTGTGCTACACACTATTGCACAGACATCTCGGCCTAGTGTGGCCAAGTCCATCCGGAGA